CCTCCCTCTCCCCCACTATTTTCCCCCTTCATCTCCCCCACGGTCCTCCGTTAAGTTCCTCCTAATCCTCCTATACGTGCAAACATACGGTATCTGTCCTTCTCTGCCTGACTTATTTCGCTCAGCATAACACCCTCAAGGTCCATCCACGTTGCTACACGTGGCCAGATTTCATTCTTTCTCATTGCCGTGGAGTATTCCATGGTATAGATAAACCACATCTTCTTGATCCATTCGTCCGTTGATGGACACTTAGGCTCTTTCCATGCTTTGGCTCTTGTTGAGAGTGCTGCTGTGAACATTGGGGTGCATGTGCCCCTGCGCATCAGCACTCCTGTGTCCCTCGGGTAAATCCCTAGCAGTGCTAGTGCTGGGTCCTAGGGGAGTTCTGTTGTTCATGTTTGAGGAACCTCCACACTGTTTTCCAGAGGGGCTGCACCAGCTTACATTCCCACCAACAGTGCAGGAGGGTGGGTACGGATGTGATTTAAAATCTGCCCTGCGGTGTTCCAATTCCGAAGTCGGTCTTCAAAATTTTGATCACCCCGGATGAATGATTTTGGTGTAAAGACTTTTTTTCTTTCAATTCTAACACACAGAATTTAAGAATATTTTCCTGCTCCCGAGCAGCCCTTTTCAAAGCTTCCCGCCAGGTGGTCGATGCCGCCCCGTGGCAGGAAGCCTGGGCGTTCACCAGCTTTGCTCTCCGCCAGCCTCTGATGACTGACAACAAGCCCAGCAGCAGGGAGGGCGCGCTGACCACCGATGTGGACTTGATGCGCGTCCGCCGACTCTGTGAGGCTCCGCGTCAGAGGTTCTGCCTCTCCCCGAGCAGAAGTGACGGATCGATGGACGGGGCACCCGCCTGATTGATTTTGAAACCATGACTTGGGCACCCACATGACCCAAGTCGATGGATTCCCTTTTGCACAGGGCAGGAGCCTCGTGTGACTCTCCCTGAAATACATCCAGCTCGGGTAAGGCTCGCGCCCTTGCCCCGGACGGCGGAGGATGCGTTCCACTCACACCTCTCGGCCGGGTGGCCGTGGGCGCCTCCTAGGGCCGCGCTACCTGAGGGCCACGAACCAGGGGCCGGAAGCAGCAGACGTGCGTCCTGGTCACAGCTCTTGAGGCTCCAGGGAAGGACCCCGCGTGCCCTTCTGTCACGTGCCGGTGGCCGCCTTGGCCCCCCGTGTTCTTGGCGGGTGGGCGTGTCGCTCCGGCTTCTGTCTGTGCCACGTCTCAGACGCTCCCTGTGTCTGTGTCCGAATCTGCCCTTTTTCTTAGGACACCGGGCATCGGATTCAGGGCCCACGTGACTGCAGCGTGACCCCCTCAAAACCTGATGTCTGCAGAGACCCTACTTCCAAATACCGGCACGTCCGCAGGGCCGGAGCTTAAGGCTTGAGCACGTCTCTTCAGGAGGCGCGGCGCTCCCCGCAACAGGGAAGCTGCTTTTGTTTTTGGTGTCAACATAGCTTACGCTTGGCGTTCATCAGTTTTGGAAGTCCCGTCATGAAGTGTAACCCAGAGGGGCGCCCGGGGGCCTCCGTCGGCTCTGAGAGTCCGCTTTGGCTCAAGTCATGGTCTCACAGTCTGTGAATTCGAGCCCCGTGTGGGGCTCTGTGCTCAGAGCCTGGAGCTGCTTCTGATTCTGTCTCCCTCTATCTCTGACCCTCCCCTGCTCATGCTCTTTCTCTCTCTGTCTGTCTCTGAAAAATGAATAATCATTAAAAAAATTTAAAAAAAAGAACGCTCTTTTCTCCTCCACCGTCCTCACTGAGAATGCCCTTCCCCCACCCACCAGGGTTGCGTTCTGTGGGTAGAGCAGGGGCCAACCTGGGATCCAGGCCTGTGGCCTCACCACTGCGAAGGGACAGGCACGTAGGCAAAGTCTGGGGGAGTGCGTGCCGGCTTCCGGAGCCCTCTCCCGGGGGTCACACAGGACACACTCAGTCCCCAGCAGTGCTGTCCACCAGCGATCATGCTAGGGAGGGACTCAGTGCCCAGGGTTTTATCGGGGGGCGGGGTGGGGAGGTCACGTGGCTGCCCTCTGCCTGGCACGCACCCAAATCCCGGAGTCCCGGGAAGAAGCAGGTGCTTGGCGTCAACCACACTGTTGGCACACAAGTGTCGGCACAGGGAGCCTCTCTCACCAGCACTGGGAGCAGGGACCCTCCCCAAATCCAGGCTCCCGGACGCCGGCTGAGGGACCCTTCTGGGGGCTGTGGTTTAGCTCGCTTCTGCAGGGCAGCCCTGCCCAGAGCATGTCTGCGGCTGTCTGGGGCCTCCTCATGACCGCACTGCTAGGGTTTTGACATTTGGAACTTCCCTGACACGTCCCAAACCCCAGCGCCATCCCCTTACCCTCCCCACGCTCTGCTTTTGGGTCCTCAAAGCCCTCAGAGCAGAGATGTCGTTCTGGGTTTGTATCAGTCTGTTCTCGGACGTGCGGAGAGCAGTGCAGCCCGCCCTCTGTCTCGGATCCCCCAGTACAAGGATGAACTCTACTGTCGGCTTAGTGTTTCCACTCTGGGATTTCCAGGACAGAAGTGAGTGATCCTAGATCGTTTAGAAGTACCTTGCTTTCTCAGTTGCAGCTCAGTGTCCAGCGTTTCAGGTGGTGGAAATGTGTCTTCGGCGTGCTCGGCGATTGTGCAGAAAGACAGCGTGTCTGCGAACTGCGCGCTCACGGGCCCCTGCTTCCCAGCGGACGCGCCACCGCGCTCTCTCCCTGTGTGGGTCTGCGGCCAAGAGCTCTGACCCAAGGCGCCAGGGCTGTTCCTCAGGGACCAGGCGCTCCGCTAGGCACCGCGGCCACTTCCCTCTGCGAGGGTCTCTGCCACTCTCCCCTCTGGGTGGGCGGGTTTCTCAGGCCTGTGTCTTCCGTCACTGCTCAGATGCCTGTGGGTCTGAAGGTCACGGGCACCTGAATCCCGGTGCAGACAGGAGACCTGGACGGGGCAGCCGGTGCCGGGGCTGCAGCGAGCTTGTGTCTGGCTACTGACTTCGCCCGACAGGTTCGAACATTCCACGCTTGCTGTGGCTTCCAAAAATTTCCCGCTTCTTAATTTCCGAGGCCTGACGAAGAATCGGGGGGGGGGGGGGATGTCTCACTTCGTGGAAGAACGTTTGCCCCAGAACTAAATCCTGCATATTTTCCAGTTCTCTCTGTTGGTTGGGAAGGGCCCACGGTTGGCGGAAGAACTACCCTCGTTTGACGGAGACCTCGCTTGCGCACGGCTGATTTGGAGGGAGCGTGGGTTCCTCCCCTGGCCAAGTTCCTGTGGGACTTGGTTCTGGGGTTCTGGGGACCTATTCGCACACGCAGGGCACCGCCGTTCAGCCTGGAGGCGGCCTTCAGCGTCCAGCTCAAGGGCACTGAGCTCATCCCGTTGGGCGGTTTGTCTGACCCCCCATCCTTGCTGTGCCTCTCCGGCCGCGTTTCTTTTCTTTCGAGGCCTCGCCCTTGGACCTGCGATCAAGGAAGAACCGTTTGCACGGCCTGGGAACTCGTTCTCACGGGCTGTCTGTGCAGGGGAGCCGGGTCCTCCTGCCGGGCTGCCCTCTGGCGGCCCCTGTCCCGTCCCGCGAACCCTTACCCGAGCCCTGCCGCGGGAAGGTCGTGCTGGGCCGCGCCGTCAGGGGCACAGAGGAGCCAGCTCTTTGGGCGTGTCACGTTCAGAGTGACCCTGAACCCAGGCCTTGGGCAGATTGGAGGTTAGTTTGGGAACGTTCTGGTGGGACAGGGTTTCCCGTCCGTGGCAGTGCCGGCCACTCGAGTCCCCATCAGGGACTCACAAATCCCACGCCAGTGTGAGGACTCTCCGCCGGGGCTGGCTGGAAATGCCCTATGTGTCCAGCGCTGCTCTAGAGCTGCCGAGCAGACCTGGCTCCCTGTGATGGCTCCAGGGGTACAGGGAGGCTCCCCGAGAAGGCTGGTGGGGGGAGGGCTCCCCGAGAAGGGTGTGGCTGTGGGGGGGCAACCACTGTTAGACCCAGCAGTCACTGATGGTCTAAACTGTGCCCTGGAGGGTGCCTGGGTGGCTCAGTGGCTGAGCATCCGACTCTTGATTCCGGCTCAGGACACGATCTCCTAGCTTATGGGCTCGAGCCCTGCGTCAGGCTCTGTGCTGACAGCTCAGAGCCTGGATCCTGCTTGGGATTCTCTCTCTCCGTCTCTCTCTGCCTCTCCCCTGCTCTCTCTCTCTCTCTCTCTCTTTCTCAGGATGGAAGAATAAACTTAAAAAAAAAAATACTAACAAAAATAAACAAACTGCGCCCCGGAGCCAGCAGCTAGAGACAGGGGTGGGGAGGAGGGGTCCGTGAGAGGCCTGAGCTGGAGAGGATGACCTCTCAGGTGGGTCCGAGCTCGGGAAACCCCAGGGCTCCTACTGCCAATGGAAGCTCTGGCCGCTTTGTAGCCAGCCAAGGGGAACCTGGAAATCCAAGATTCCAGAAGAACAGCACGAAGGAAAAAGAGAAGCCATCAGCCAATATCTGTCGGGGGGCCTCGACCGCGTGTTTAGGGCAGAGGAGCGGCCTGACCCCAGGGCCCGGAGGGAAGCTGGGAGCTGGAACCGTGCTGGGCGGTGGGGCCAGGCGTGGTGCCAGCCCTGGTGTCCCCGGTGGTGGTAGCTTGACTGTCACTACTGCTTCCTCGTGCTCTTCACGGCGTGCTGCCTGGCACTAGCATGGGCAGAGCCAAGTTCGTTCAGAGTAGCCAGAACCCAGAATGAGTCCGGGGACCCGTCCTCGGGAGAAGACGAGGTGTTGTGTACGGTGGGGTGTCAGCCAGAGACAGCAAGGAACGGGCCTTGCTCCTCACAGCGCTCGCACAAGTCTCGGCATTGGGCAGAGCGCAAGGAGCCCCACGCGGGAGCTACAGGCCGACCTCGGGGACGTGGCGGATTCGGTTCCCGGCCGCCACAGTCAAGTGGACACCTCGGTAAAGCGAGGATCACAATGAAGTGAGTATCGCCGTAGAGTGAGTCAAATGAACATTTTGGTTCCCAGTGCAGAGAAAAGTTGTGTCGACGCTACACTGCAGTTTGTTAAGTGTGCAAGAGCGCTGTAACGAAAAGTGTACACGCCTTAATTTAAAGACACGTTACTGCCAAAAAAGAAAACCAAACAAACCCTGCCAAGCATCTGAGCTTTCAGTGAGTCATGATCACCGATCACAGATCGCCGTAACAAATAAAATGTTTGAAATATTGTGGGAATTCCTGAAAGGTGACACAGAAACAAGAAGCAAGCAAACGCTGTTGGAGAAAAGGTGCCGATAGACTTGCTCAGCACAGGGCTGCCACAGATCTTTCAGTTATAAAAACTGTGGTCTGTGGGAAGCCCGGTGAAGCGAGGTTTCCCCGTATATGGTGTGAGGCAGGGCTCCAGTCTCCTCCAGGTATCTACCTCGGCACGCTTAGTAAAGTGGAACCCCATGGAATATCACCTTCAAAGAGACGAGCAAATGTAACTGCCAGGCCAGAATCCAAACCCAGCGACGCGATCACTCCAGAGGGAATTATGAAGCCAAGACATTTCCGACGGAGATGCAGAGAGGTTCACCACCTGCCGTCTGCGCGGAAAGACCGTAAGGGCTGTGTTTGGGAATGGAGTGGCTGAATATAAACGGAAGGGCTACCCAGATCTCAACATGGTCCAGCCGGGACTCCGTTCCATTCCAATTTTTTTTTTTTTTGACGACACCAGAAGCATATAAACGACCCAGTGCACAGGTCCTGAGCAGAGCCGGTGGTCTGATCCACCCTTTTCATGATATTTCCATCCCCAGGCTGGCAGGGGGTGGCTGGCTCAGGCCCAGAACGCTGGCTGGAAGGAAGTTCTCTTTACCTTCACAAGTTTGGGACCGCGGGGGGATCTGCTTCTTCGTGTCCTCCCTAAGTGGAAGAGAGAAGCTTTTACAAGAAATAACTTTTTCAGCAAATCCAGTGTATTTTTTTAACCTCGCATTTTTTCCTCCTTGCAATTGTGACATGTCTACATGAAATTGGCCACAGGAAGGAAGCCCCGTTCAAGAAGCTATTTTCTGAACATCCCTCTACACCCTGGATTTCACAACATGCACACATTTAGTGGGAGGGACGGAGACTTTGCGCCCCCGCGGCAGTGGTGGTTGGGGCGTCCAAACTGCACTGACATGTCCCGTGTGACCCCCTCCCGCAGGCCGAGAAGGCAGGGATCGAAGGGTAATTAAATATTTATTTCGGAGAAAGAGACTTTTCGGAACAGAAAGCCTAACCGCCTCTGGAAATAAGCCTGAAGTCAGAGGTCAAGTCAATGATATTCCACAACGGGGAAGTTACAAGTTTAGAGAAGGGCCAGGGAAAGATAGGATGACCCAACCGCCGCGAGGTACCAGTGACTCTGGACGCCTTTAAAAGCACCCTTTTGCTTCTGCGGGGAGCCCACGGTCATTGGTTTAGGGCCCGAGGAGCGCGCGGCCAGCACCGACGGCTCACTGTGACGTCTGTGCTCGTCCCTGTGAGCGAGCAGGGCTTACCCTCCGGTTTCCCCTTCTGTCTTGGCTCTGGGGCCCATCAAGCTGGCATCGAGCGCCCCGCACGGAGACGCGCTGCCCGGCCACGTCGCAGGCGTGATCGAAGCCCCCTGACCGGTGCCGGACCTCCTGTCACCCCCCCTTCCTCCTTCCTGGTGGCGGCGGTCATCGCCTCGCACCTCGGAGCCCAAGCGTGGAGCGCGGCTGCCACGTTTGGTGCCGCGCGGGCACCGGCCGCTCCACGTGTGCCATCCCGTCCTCGCGGCGGCTCTCTGTGGTCGTTCTTCCTGGCTGCCGTCTGACGCAGGCTCGGGGCGGCCAGGGGCCTCTGGAGGAAGGGCACACGGCAGGGATCGCAGAGCGGGGCGTGGCCACAGGCCGGGAGCTCCCCCGTGCCCGGCGCTGCGCCCCACTCCCCTGGGGGTGGGGGCGGCTGGAGGGGACGGCCGCCCTCCTCATCAGCGTCCTTGAAGTGGGACGCACCGGCCGCGGGAGGCACCGCTTGCCCCCAGTCCTGCTCCCCGGCCCGGCGTCTTCGCCGCCGCCCTGGTTACCCATGTGGCTGCCGTGCGTCCGCGGCCGAGAGGCCGCCTCATCGAACTCACGTTCTTGGTTAGGAAGCAGGTGCACGAGGGGGAGGAGGAGGAGAGGGACTAGACGGATGCGTCCGGGAGCGTCGCTGCCCGAGAAACTTCTCCGGACGCCGCGGCCTCGGGATTCTGTGGGCGGACTGGCGACTCTTCAGCCGCCCCCCCCCCCCCCACCCGGCTCAGCGTCTCCTCCTGCGCGTCTTCCGCGACGGTGGGCCTGTCCCAAGGGCGTAAAGGAGGAGCCGCGTCAGCCCGGACGCCGCACGTCATGCCCGCTCCCACGCGGGTCGTCAGGAGGCCCTCCCACACCAGGACTGGGGACGCTCGGTCCTCCTGTGAAGGGAGGGGCCGCAGAGCCGCGGGGCTGAGCGGGGGGTGGGGGGGGTTGCAGGAAGCGCGACGCACGGAGGGGGCATTATTCTGACACCCGCCCAGACCGTGTGACCAGCTCCGGGCAGAGGCAGAGCTGGAACGCACGGAGTCCCCAGGAGCCCCGCCTAACTTACGGACGGGCGGCTCGCTCCGAAGAACATCGAGGAGAGACGTGCTGTGTCCGCGCCGCCCCCCCCAGTCAGGACTGTGCCGGGCGGCGAGCGTTCCCCGCGGAGCCCACAGAACAGCCACGGTGCCGCCTGCTTCCCCCGGAGTACCCCGGGATGGGGGGTGCTAACCCCCCCTCAGAGTGGGCTCGCGGGGCGCCGGGGGCAGGGAAGAAAATTGGAGACTCCATTTAGATTTCCATTTGCCTAAAAAAGAGATTAACCGCACTATGTTTATAAGCAGAGACACAGCGGGGGCCTTCCCGTGGCCTCACGCCAGGCGACCTGAGTCCCGCGGGGACACAGAGGGCCCCGAGGGAGGAGGAGACCCCACAACCTGGACAACGGCTCGTGGCGCATTGAGGGGCGTGGTGCGCACCTGTCTGGATGTGGGCCGAGGGTTACGTCGTGTTAACACTTTGCCGCAGTTGACAGGGAGGCAGAGCCCGGCCCGGGGGTGTTCTGTGCGGTGCTGACTCACTGGCAGCGTTTAAAGGAGGCCCGACTGAAGCGCTTTTCCATCAAGGCACCAGTTCCAAATTGCCGCTTTCATTTTTGGGCATGAGGCGTGGCTACCTGTCGACTGATGTAATTTCTCTCTTTGTAATTTATGTGTATTATTTATCTTATTAATAAATATTAAAATAAGCACACTTAACTTGTGTCTTTGAGGCGGAAGACATTCAGACTGCGAAGAAGAAGATTTAGGGGCTCCCGGCCGGCTCAGTCGGTGGAGCATGTGACTCTTGATCTCAGGGTCGTGAGTTCAAGCCCCGCACTGGGCATGGAGCCTGCTTAAAATAAAAAAAAAAAAATGTTTTTTGGAAATGTTTGGAATTTTTCCCATTGTGCTGTGATTTCTGGGGCTGAAAATGAAGTGGGAAAACCACCAAATACTGCTCGTCTGTGCATCTGGGACTTTGGATGCGTCATCTTTTATGTTTCTCCTGTTGCATTTTGTTGTCTGTTTTCCGCTGCAAGTGGCCCAGAGGGCGCCCGCTTCATCTCCTTCATCTTCCTGTCCCCGGACCTGCCTAGCGCCTGGCCCGAAGGTCGGCAACTCGAGGCCCTCAGTGGCTCAATGGAGTTTCGTCCTAACTGCTTGCTGTGAGCAGAGCCCCTCATCGTGAGTGCCTTCTAGATCCTTCTGTGAGCCTGGGGCAGCTATGCATGGCACTTAACTGCACCCCTCCCCTTCGTCTTCTGTTGTGGGGTCGTTGGCATCATCGACACAAGGCGGTGCCTCAAGTAAACCTCTCTTGTTCTGGGGGTTGAGAGAGAGGCTCTGTTCTAGACTGTTCTGTTCGCTCGGCCTGGGAGTTTCTTGCCGAAGCCCGGCAAGGAACTAGGACTTCTCAGCTGTCAGCATGCTTCCTGTGGGCGTGTTTGATGTGGCATCTGCCTTGTAATGGTACCTCAGTTTCCTTTCTTATCGTTCAAGGAATGGGTTGGAGCAGAAGACATTTGAGGTCCTGTGCAAGTTGCCCATGGCTGCGACAACGAATGGCCACAAACCTAGTGGCTTCAGGCAACACAGATTTGGGGGCGCCTGGGGGGCTCAGGCAGCTAAGCGTTTGGCTCTTGGTTTCAGCTCAGGTCATGATCTCATGGTTTTGTGAGTTCGAGCCCTGCATTGGCTGACAGTACGGAGCCTGCTTGGGGTCCTCTCTCTCTCTCAATCTCTGTGTGCACCTCCCCCACTCACGCTGTCTCTGTCTCTCTCAAAATAAATAAACTTTAGGAAAAAAAAACAGCACAGATTTATTTCCACACGGTCTGGAAGTGAGAAGCCCGACGTGGGACTCGGTGGTTAAAGTGCGGCTCTCTGTCCGCAGGGCTGTGTTCCGTCTGGAGGCGCCGGGATGGATCTGCCCTGGCCTCTCCCGGCTTCTCGAGGCGCCCGAGTCCCTTGGCTCAGGGCCGCTCCTCCGTCTGCACAGTCTGGCAACTTCCAATGTGTGTCTCTCTCTGACCCGGACGCTCCCTCCTCCCTCTTCTCAGGGAGATTATGTGGCCCTGGGTCGTCCAGCGCAGCCCCCTTTCTCCAGCACTTGACTCAGTCCCACCCTTGCCCGTCTCCCCCGCTCCCTTCCCTCTTCCGTCCTTCCGGGGACCCACGCGATTTGTAATCACGTACGTGCCCTTTTTAGACGCTCCGTCTGCTCGCTCACGCCTCTGTTGCGGGGACTTAGAAAGGGATGTTGGCTGATTACCCTCAAATTTAAAATTGCTCCCCTTCGACCCATTCCTGTTCTCTTGCGGGCCGTGCTTTTGTCCAGAAGAGAGAGAGAAACACCAACGCCACCTTCTAACCGCAGGGCTTTCCCGGCCAGACTCGGGGCGGTACACGTGGATGAGCAGGTGGCCTCCTCACGCGACATCGTGCCGTGGGCAAGGCCAGGCCTGGCGAGCTGGACGCGGGGGCCGTGAACCCTCCGTGAAGGCCCTGCCTGCGGTCAGGCCTCGCCCCTGTCTCAGCGGCCAGGCCTCCTGCCTTCCGGGTGCTTCCGTTCTCCCAGTGGCACGGGAACTGGAGACTTGAGGAGACAACTGTCCAGAGGGGGGGAAAGGTTAGAGAAGTGGGTACGGTCACCGGACGGCAGGAAGGCTTGCCAAGGGTCACGGGCCGCGCGGCCGCCTGTCCCTCCGCAGCCGCGTTCGGGCGCTGGGCCGGGGACGGAGAAAGCAGAGGGTGGCATTCAGCCAGGCGTGGTGTTTGCTGAGTGGGTGACGCTGTGGGGGCAGGTTCTCCTTCCTTTCCTGCAGAGCCGGAGGGACCTCTCGCCGCGGGCCGAGGGTGCCCGGGTCAGAGGTGGCGGGACCTTACGCACATCGAGAACGTCCCTGGCCTTCCCACCAGAGCCCAGCGACACCGGAATGTCCTTTCCTTCAAGGCTGCCGTTGATTGTAGTCTGACCTCATGCACCAGGCGGCGGCGGGGGTTGAGTGGTGGGTGGGGGTGGGCGTGAGCACCCCGCGCCCGCAGCTCTGTCCCCGCCCCCGCCCCTCCACTGGGGACTCTTATCCAAAGAGAGAACTTACCACAAACGGTCTTCATCTCGAAGGCAAAATCCTCTCACTGTAATCGTGCTCGCGGCGCAGGTGTCTACCGCGTGCGCAGGAGACGGTGTTCACGAAGCACAGGACCTCGAGAAGCTCGCTTTCTTACTGGAATCGATCGGCTGGGACAGGGACACACCGATACGTGGCATTCCGCAGGCTCAGACCTGGGGATCAGGGCCGAGCCCGGTCCCTCTTCTCTGCCCTGGAAGACAGGGGCGAGGGGAGAGGACCGGGGGGCGGGTTGGAAAGACCGGGCGTCTGGCTGTGCAGCAGGTCACTCCTGACAGGTGTGATCTCGACGCCTTGTATGGGCCACGCTGTGACTCGGGCAGCCCGAGGGACTCCCCCGTTTTCCTCCTGGGGCAGGCCCCGCTGATGGGAAGTGGTGCCCGATAGTTCAGTTTCCTTTCTGGTCAGCTTCTCGCGAAGCCTGCGCCTCTGATACTTGAGGCAGGTGGGGGAAGCCCTTCCGAGGAATTTTTGGTGCTGTGGGGGCCCCCTGCTCCTCAGTCTCCCGGAGGGCCTGGGGCGGGGGGCAGGTGAAGGTGGCCGGCGTCGAGCTGGAGGTCCCCGGCCACTCCCGAGGAAACGCGGGCGAAGCCCGGCAGGCAGGTAGGCACCCGGGGACGACATTTCAGAGGCCACGGGCCTCTCCCCGGGAGCCCGTGCTGGGAGTGGCCTCGGTGGGGGAGCCGGGGGCGGCTGTGGTCCTGGGGCAGGTTCGCAGGAAGCAGGGAGAGGGAGGCGGCAGAGCAGAGGGGAGGGGAGGGGATCTAGAGGGGCCTGAAGCAGAAGGAAGAAACGGAGCTCAGTGGTTTCCAACCGGGCGCTTCTGCCCGTGGGGACACTGGGCGGTGTCCCGAGACAGTGGCGGGGGGGAGGGGTGCCGCTGGCACGCAGTGGCGCGAGCTCCTTCCGGGGCACAAGGCGTCCCCCTCCCCACCGGCCCCAAATGTCAGCAGAGCCTTGATGTGACTCCAAGGACTGGCTGAGGTGGGGGGCAAGGACCCCTCTGTCTCCCACCCGCTCTGTGGGAAAACCCGTCTGACTGGGAACTTCTCCAGTGGAAAAAGCCCCCCCCCTTTTCTTCCCCTTGGGTTGCAACTAGCGTGTGTGATGTGGCCTCTGGGCGTTTTGTGGAAACGGAAAAGTTCAGCTGGGCGCAGCCCCGTCTGGGATCCTTTCCGTCGAAGCCTCCGTCCGGCCCCGCTCGTCCCGGCGGGAGGGGTTCCGCGGGTCCCTGGACGCAAACGGCTGCACGCGCGCTGCCCCTCTGCGCGTTCGCGGCGCAGCGCCTCCGGCGGCCTCGGGGCTTCCGAGGTGCGGGGGCGCGGGCGGCTGGCCCTGCGGGTGAGGGGCTCCCTGGTGGCCGCTCACGCCAGCCCGGCCTCGCTGAGCGCGTCTCCCGTTAGCGGGCCCTCACCGTCGGGACGGCATCTCGAGGGCCGCGGACTGTGCTGGGGCTCGGGCGCCGCACCGGCTGCCTCCCGGCTGTGCATGGGGGCTGGTGGGGGCGCAGTGCGGGGGCGCAGTGTGGGGGCGGGGGGCTGGTGGGGGTGCAGTGTGGGGGTGGGGGGGCTTGTGGGGGTGGTGTGGGGGCGCTGTGGGCATGGCGGGGCTGGCCCGGGCGCAGTGGGGGGGCCGGGGGCTGGCACGACC